AGAGAGAGAGAGAGAGAGAGAGAGAGAGAGAGAGAGAGAATGAAAAAATGATATAAGTGTTTATTTTACAAAAATATTTTATTTTTCAGATAAGATACTGTGTTTAAAGCTCGTAGACACCAGTCATTGGAGTTTAGACATAAGTTATTGAGATGTTTTTTGTATGAGTGAAAAATGAATGTAATTTTCTGTTCACATGTATTGTGTACTGTTTGACGACAGTTACGACCAGTAATACAAAGCGTGCAATTGATTAATACAGACGTTGTGTTCATTATAACGAGTATTACTTATTAAAAGTTTTAAAGTTTTAACATTTTAATTTGTTTGTGTATTATAAAGGAGTTTTAATTCCCATACGATTGCAATGTGTTTGTAAGTTCACTATAACTGTAAAGCATTGACAATATTTTGTATATATATTTTTTTGATTATTATCCCTATTATTATTAATGTTGTGTAAGTGTAGCCATTTATTAGCGACTTTTAAATATTATATTTGAAGTTTTATTTTTCTTATTAATTAAAGAGAAATAAAAATAAAACAATAATTTTCAAAGTTATGTAAGTGTTTGGGTGTAGAAATTCACAGACGATTGTCATTGAATTGTCATCAAATGTAAAAATATTTATCAAATTATTAATACTTTTCTATTCAAATTGCTTCATAAGGAAACTTTCATGATAGATTTCCTGTGAATTTTTATCATCAGTGAATTTGTGATACAATAGCAGAGAACGTGAATAACATTGGATTTAATAGGAAATTGTTTTTACATACGAAGAACTCATACCGTTATAAACAATTATTATTACCATAAGTGGTTTGTAGTGTCGGCAAACATACATAATGTGCAGCAAAACCCATGCGATTAGTGATGACATTACCCACACTCACCTCCCGGTGCAATACTATGTGCAGCACAACTGGCCGTCATATCACCCGTCGGTCGGAAACCATAGTAACGGCCGAAAGCTGGACAAACAGCTGTGTGTTTACGCCTGGTTTTACATCGTTGTCATTTTGATTGGCATTTTTATATTGAAAACTGTTTTAGAAAATCTCAACACCTATTATAAGTTTGCTGTTAAATGATTGTGGTGTTAGTTTTTACATTGTCAATTTTGTTAATTGCATTTATATCATAATCATTTTATTAGTTAAGGTATTGTAATAAAAATTATTTAGATTTATTTTTACAATATTTTATTAAAATTCATAAAAAGTTATTTAACAGTATAGTAAAAGATGTGTGTAATTATAATAGGATTTTACAATCAAAACCTGTTTTTAAAGGTTTCTGTAAACAAGAATTACATAGTTTTTAATTGTGTGTAAAACTGAATGAAAAATCTCAAGGCTTTTAAACAGAAATTTTAATAATTTTTTATACTTTTATTTTAAAAATTATTTCTTATAATACTTTAAAACATAAATATTTTATAATTTTATAAATATTAATAAATAAATAAATAAAAATTAAATAAAGTTTAAATAATAATTAATTCCATTTAAATAAATACCCTGGTTACATTTGAGGAGCGCTTGTAAAGCCACCATCGTTTGTAACGTTAACTATTTGAATAGTTTTATTTAATTTGTAATCTTTGCGCATTAATTCAGTGATCTCTTTACGTGCAATGCAATTGCCTTTATAGCAATACTGATCCCAATTGAATCATGGTAAAACAAATTATGGTAAAATAAATCAAAAATAATAGTGATAGGGAACATTTTAAGTAATTACTTGAGGTCCGATTGCGCATTGAATATAATCTGGCGATGGTACAGCCTCCATGGGCTTAACATTGCCCCTGGTCAATATACGGCATGTGGTCATACATAGGGATCCGTTTTGACCAATCTATTAATTTATCAGAATTATTCATTATCCCATAGAGTTAACATGAGATACAGGTTATACTTACGTTATACGCCTGAGCGATGGCCCGGCTGTCAATCGTGCGGATCATTTCTAACTCCTTGTCAAACATGAGACCACAGTATCGCTGCTCAACAGCTTGTGGTCTACGGCCGGCCGGTTGGCCCGGTTTGGGCAGACATACGCCAATTATTACCACAATTAGTATATTGTATGGAAAATTCATGGTAAAAATTATTAGTTTTGTTAATTAAAAAATTATTTTAGTTTTAAAACTGAATGACACTTCAAATGATGACAATTGTTTGATATGTGTGTGAATTATATCTGATTTTTTAATGTTTAATTAGTTTTATATATTTATTTCAAAAAATCACTTCCTATTAATAAATTGTGAAATAATTTTGTTGTTGTTGTGTTTGATATGGATATTGACATAAAATTGACATAAATTACTAATTTTTAATGCATTAATACATTATTTATTGAAATTAGGTATTGATATGCGGGTCAGGATTTATACAACAAAATTAATTAAATAATTTGATATATTTTTGTATTTATTTATTTGTTATAATAAAACTTAAATAGCGTAATGTTTAAACATGTTTAAAGCTGAAAATCTAAATTTAATTAAATGATAAATAGCATGGTTAACTAAATAAGTTAAAAGCAATAATTGTTAGCATGTCAAGCATTAGTAAATGTTTATTCAGAAAACATAATTAATTAAATAATAAAATATTTTACAAATATTTATCAAATAAAAATTAAATGCACATGAAATAGACACAGTGTACATTTATTTCATGTAATTGTTTGTACAAAACTTATGATAAGTTACCATATCAAGTTATCATTGATAACCAGATGTTAGCATCAGATAATTAATACATTTTTCAGCATTTACTGTACTGTATAAATAAGGCATTTATAATGAATTCTCATACCAAAGGGTTAAATAGTTTGTGTAAACATTTAACAATTGATCTGTGTAAAGGTAGTAGATATACTGTAAAATAATAACTAACTCGTTAGGTGGTGTAGTAAAAATCAATGAAAACAGTACATGATCATTGATCAATGATCATTATCTAAACTCAGCATAACAACAACAATACCCAACAATACTTGCATTTTGGCGATGAGTGGTTTCGCTGACCTGTGGTCAGAGTTGGCCGACGAGTTCCAGTGCTCCATATGTTTGGGCGTATTGTCGGACGCCGTGGACACCAAATGCAAGCATACGTTTTGCTATCAATGCATTAATCAGTGGCTCACTTCTCAGACCAGTAAACAGTGTCCGGAATGCAGACAATCGGTGGTCAACAGAAATAGGCCACAGCCGGCGGGCGCCGCCAATCGTCACAACCGCTTCCGTAAGCCTAACCCTAAATGGGATAATATCTTTATCGGCGACGATGTGGTCGTCTATCGGAACCGATCGTTGAATAGGATTATCAGTCGATTGCGGGCGAAGTGCGAGTTAGAGGCGAACGGGACGGACAGTCGTCGACGCTGTGGAGACAAAGAGGCGGAAGAATTGCGGAAAACAGTGGCCAAACTGGTGGTGGATAGAGATCAGTGCCGTAAGGAGGCGACCAATTGGCGCCGCGAAGTGGACACTATGTGCGGCCAAATCGAGTCACTGGTGACAGATAGGGATCAGTTTAAGTCAGAGGCGGACAAATTGCGCCGGGAGTTGGATGTATTGGATCCGGATCAGTGTCGCGTTGAGGCGGCCAATCAGCGCCGACAGGTGGACAGATTGACCATGATGAACAAAGAGATGGCGGTTGATAGGGATCAGTGCCTCACAAATGCTAACAAATTGCGAAACGAGAAACAAAAGCTGAAGGCAAATGTGGTTGAGTTGCGGTCAGAGGCGCACGCATTGCGGCGACAGAAACTGGAAGTGACGGCCGATATGGAGAAGTACCGGTTAGAGGTGTCCGAATTGAGCCGGATCAAACAACAATTGGTGGCCGATAGGGATCGGAACCAGTCAGAGGCGGAAAGTTTGCGACGGCAAGTAGAGGGCTTAAGGGAACAACGAGGTTGTTGTGTTGTCATGTAAGGCACAACGGGACGGGTGCAGTGATGTCCTACAGACCATGTTATTCATGTTTGAATTGTGGTTAAAAATGTTTAAACATTTATTAATTAAAGTTAATTAACATTTAAATCCAATGAAATAAACTCAAAATAAAGTTCTATTATAAATACAAACATACAATTGATTGAATAAAATATATGATTACAAAATGTTATTTTTAAAATTTTCAAATAAGAAATAAAGGCAACATTTACTGTAAATCTGTAGAGTGGCCAGTGGACACTCTAATTAATTGTACTTTTAATCAGTTAGAGTTTAAAATGTATTTAATTCAGTTATGTAAAAACAGGCATAAACTTTCTGCGAGTTAAGTAGAGAGATTTAGTTTATGGTTTACCTTTAGTATACTACAGTATACCTTTAGTATACCTGTAGTATAAATACTTTAGTACTGTGCACTACAGTATACTTTACTGTATACGCAATTTAGCCAGGATGTTATAACTATGGCTAGGACTTTAGTGCAACTTTAGTGCAGTTTTGTCTCTAATATACATTTTTAAAAAATATAATAATGATTATCGCAACTATTTTATTTATGTATAACATAAACTGAATACAGGATTTTTTGTTACCATTTGACTAATTCACTACTTTTATAAGTCTGAATATTAAATGACTCATCAAGTCCTAGCTCTAGTTATAACTTATAATCATTAGTCAAAATTATAATTTTTGTAAAAGTAATGAACAACTTAATAAACATACATGTAAGTTTATAACTTAATGGTTATAAATTATCAGAAATATTTGAAGCATAGAGTTATTAGTAATAACTTATTACATATTTTGTTTACCTAGAGTAATCTAGTTGTTAATAGCAACATGTTATTTATACATTTGTAAATGTAAATTGTATTATAAAGTGTCATTGATTATTTTCACTCAATAACATTAATTCAAACAATGGAGGTGTATTATCAAAAGTAAAAACATTATTGTACATAATTGTACATGCTCACTTTTTGAACAAAGGCATCATAAAAGCAATGCCTGGGTATCCGATCAGCCGTTTTGTGGACCTGAGACTAGAGATGGCCGAAGAGTTTCGGTGCTCTATATGTCTGAACCTGTTTGAGGACGCGGTGGACACCAAATGCAAACATACCTATTGTTATCAATGCATTCATCAGTGGCTCACTTCGCAGAGCACTAAACAATGTCCGGAATGCAGACAATCGGTGGTCAATAAATACCCCAAACCACAGACTGAGGGCGCAGGCAATCGCACCGCCAATCGTAACACACAATACCGTAAACCTAACCCTAAGTGGACGGCTCTGCACATCGGCGACGATGTGCTCGTCTACCGGAATCGAAAGGTAAACAATTTCATTAGTATATTGCGTGTGAAGTGCGAGTGGGAGGCGAACGGGTGTCCGCATGTGATGACTGTTGACGAGGCTGAGAATCACAGCCGCCGGTGTCCATACCTGGTGTGCGAGCGGTGCTGTCTGTCCGGCGGGCGTAACACCGATCACGAGAAGCACAAATGTGTGGACGCCTTACTCCGCGACCGGAAACGATGGCGAGACCAGTGCGGCAAAGAGGCGGACCAATTGCGCCAACGAGTCGACACATTGACCCGCGAGAGCGTACAACTGGTGGCCGATAGGGATAAGTACAGGTCAGAGGCGGACACATTGCGCCGCGGACTAGAAGTGTTAGACCCCGATGAGTGTCGCGCGGAGTCAGTGATATTGCGCCGGGAATTGGACAAATTGAGCATGGTGAATAAAAGTGTGACCGCCGATAGGGATGAGTGCCGGACAGAGGCGGACACTTTACGCGACGAGAAAGAGCGGGCGATCGCCGGTATGGATGAGTGGCGTAAAAAGGCGGCCGATTTGCGTCGTGAGGCCGACGGGTTAAGAGCCGACAGAAGCTGTTGTGCCCTAATGTGAGACCCGGACTGTATTGTGTAAGTGCTTTGGTTAATAGTTTCAAATTATTTAAGATTATATACATCACTGATATTATCTATAAATAAATCTTTATATAAATTAATTCAATGTTGTTTATTAAGTACATGTTAATTGAACTGTTAATTAAATTCATAAATATATAAATAAAAAATATCATAAGTACTAACAATTGTTTGTACAAAAACACAAAATAATCTCAAATAAAAGAAAAATTAAATTTTTCAACATATACTGTACATTGAATTTAACAAAACTTGACCAATAATTATATTAATTAAAAACAAAATAATAATTTGTGAACATTTATTTTAAATGTTAATACAATTGCAATTGTTTGCACAAAACATGTGATAACTTATCACTGATAACCAAATGTTAATCTAAGGGCCTTAAGATAAGATAGGAATTAAAATTTTTCAACATTTGCTGTACTTTATATTGAATTATCATATCAAAGGTTTAGGTTAAGTTGTATTTGGACTAAAGTGTTTGGACTGTAAAGTTTGTTTCTGCATTTAACATGAACAGTTTAGCATTTTACTGTATTTTAGTGTACATTTTAATTGCATTTTAAACAGTGGAAACACATTATTATTTATATTTAAAGCACCACCAAATCAATGCCCGGGTATCCCATCAACCGTTTCATAGACTTGAGGCCAGAGTTGGCCGAAGAGTTTCGGTGCTCTATATGTCTGAATCTGTTTGAGGACGCGGTGGACACCAAATGCAAACATACCTATTGTTATCAATGCATTCATCAATGGCTCACTTCGCAATGGACCACTAAACGATGTCCGGATTGTAGACAATCGGTGGTCAGCGCTAACCGCAGACCACAAACATCCAGCATATCATCGTTGACTGCGGGCGCCGGCAATCGTGACACACAATACCGTAAACCAAACCCTAAGTGGACGGCGCTGTTCATCGGCGACGATGTGGTCGTCCACCGGAACCGACGGGTGAACGCATTCATCAGTCGATTGCGAGTAAAATGCGAGTGGGAGTCGAAGGGGTGTCCGGATGTGATGAGTGTGGACGAGGCCGAAGCTCACGGCCAGCGGTGTCGGTATATGGTGTGCGAGCGGTGCGGTCTGTCCGGCGGTCGCAACTCAGACCAAGAAAAACACATATGTGTGGACGCGTTACTCCGGGACCGCAAACGATGGCGAGACCAGTGCGGCAAAGAGGCCGACCAATTGAGACAACGAGTGGCCGCTATGGGTCGAGAGGCGGACACTTTGCGCCGGGAGAAGGAAAGGTTGGCGACAGATAGGGATAAGTACAGCAAAGAGGCGGCTAAATTGCGTAATGATATAGAAGTGCTGGACCCTGATGAGTGTCGGCTGGCAGTGGCAACTTTGCGCCGGGAAGTGGACCTATTGAGGTCACAGAACCGGACACTGATCGCCACTTCAGATAATTATCGCTTACTGGCCGACAGATTAAGCCGTGAGAAACAACAGGCGATTAACAGTCGGGATCTGTTTAGCGCCGAAGCGGTTGTCTTACGCCGGGAGAAACATCAGGCGGTGGCCGATAGGGATCGGTTCCGGTCAGAAGCGAACGCCTTAAGGGCTGAGAAATGCACAGTAATGTGAGGCCAATCCTCCCGTACCTGTGGTTTGATTACATTGACTAACCTTTACTTTGACTCACTTCAAAATGTTTGCATGTAATTCATTGAATTGTTTGAATTTTATAAGCTATTTGTATTTTAAAATGAAAAATATTTCCAATTAAATAACATTATTCATTTATTTTTAACTATTGGTAAATTGCATTTTACGAGAGAGAGAGAGAGAGAGAGAGAGAGAGAGAGAGAGAGAGAGAGAGAGAGAGNATTGCATTTTACGAGAGAGAGAGAGAGAGAGAGAGAGAGAGAGAGAGAGAGAGACTAAAGTTATCTTAATTATTAATACAATGTATGACTATTATTATCCTTTTATAATTATTATAATCCTAAATATAATTATATCAATGATGAATTATCACATATAAAAACAAGCAATTATTTGCATTAAATAGTTATCAAATATTAATCTCAGATAAGATAAGAAATAAACTTTTTCGACATTTAGCGCAAAAGTATACAATTTATAATATTTACAAAAGTGTACAATTTATCATTATAAATAATAGTAAAGTATATTACAATTAAAACATGTTTATTCACTTTATTTATGGCTTTAACTCTAAAATATTAGTAATGATAAAATAATGTGCTAAAAAACAGCCAGATTCATTCTTTAAGTCACAACAACAAATATGGCTGACAATCCGTTGAACCGTTTAGCAGACTTCTGGCCAGAGATGGCCGAAGAGTTTCGGTGCTCTATATGTCTGAATCTGTTTGAGGACGCGGTGGACACCAAATGCAAACATACCTATTGTTATCAATGCATTCATCGGTGGATCACTTCGCAGGGCAACAAACAGTGTCCGCAATGCCGACAATCGCTGGCCATTCCTAACCTTAAATCAAAAGCGGTGACCAATTCATCTTCGACTTCGGGCGCCGGCAATAATGATAATAAATACAGTAAACCAAAGCCAAACCACATCGTACTGTACATCGAGGACGTGGTTTTAATCAGGAACCGTTGGCTAAACAACTTTATGAGTCGATTGCGAGTAAAGTGCGAGAGAGAGGCGAATGGATGTCCGGCACCGATGACTTTGGCCGAAGCGGACACTAATGAGCGCCGCTGTCCATACGTGGTGTGCGAGCGGTGCGGTCTGTCCGGCGGGCGTAACTCAAACCACGAGAAGCACAACTGTGTGGACGGATTACTTCGGGATCGGAGCCGATGGCGAGACCAGTGCGGCCAAGATGTGGACCAATTGCGACAACGGGTGGACGCGTTAACCGGCGAGAGAGCAGAGCTGGCGGTAGATAAGGAGTGGTATCGCATAGTGGCGGACACATTGAACCGCCAGACTAAAAATATGATGGTTAATAGAGATCGTGACCGGTCAGAGGCGTACACATTGCGCCAATCAGTGGCCACATTACGTCGCCAGTGGGCAGAGCTCGTGGACAGACCGGACAAGTGCTGCGGTCGAGAAATAAAGGCATTGGTCGCCGAGAATGAGGCGCTGGCCGCCGATCGGGACAAGTGGCGCACCGATGCGGACACTTTGCGCCGGGAGTCGGCAGAGTTGGTGCGCATACGTGAGCGCTGTCACGCAGAAAACCTCAATTTGGGCCATAAAGTGGACGCACTATTCCGGGAGAAACAGTGGTTGACCGCCTGTAATGAGCAGTATAGCCAACTGGTGGACACTTTGCGCCGGGAAAACAAAGCGCTGGTGAACGGTAGGAGTCAGTACCGCTTGTGGCCGCAAACACCCTTGTAATATAATGTTAGACCCAATTAATGTATTTTTGGTTTTATACAGCTAATATTTATTAAAATTGTTTTGAAATATATTTATGTAATACATAGCGATTAGTGATATTATCTATGGGTAAATGCATTGTATTGCAATAAAGCAATAAATTAAAAGAAATAAATTAAATGTAATAAACTAAATGTAATTAATTTAATGTTAATTTATAAATATATTTCTAATTAAATAAATAAGAAATCAGTAGATAGAATGGGCGGACACATTTTTCCAGGATAACAAGGCACTACAATATTTATAGATAAATTAGATTGAGCAAGAATGTGCGTGCTCAAACTCATAGTATTTTCTTAATGGCAAAAATGTATAATCATTTACCCTTTAGTATGAAAAATATAATAATTTATGATTAAATTCAAACAAAGAAAACGCTGATAATAGCTTTGTATTGACTCTTATATAATATAAAATTATTTATTTATTGTACCTGTATACAAAATATTAATAGCAAACACAATAGTGATTGAGGTGATTTACAATTAAATTCATCAAAATTAACACTACGTTTACAACAATATGCCGGGCTATCCGACGGAGTGTTTCGTAGACCTGAGCCCTGAGTTGGCCGACGAAATACAGTGCTCTATATGTCTGTGTGTATTGTGCGATGCGGTGGACACCAAATGCCGGCACAGCTATTGCTATGAATGCATTGAACAGTGGCTCACATCACAGACCGGTGCCAAACTGTGCCCGGAATGCAAGCAATCGGTGGCCAATAAATACGGCAAAAATTCCAAGAAAGCCAAATATAACAAACGGGACCCGAAACTGAACGCACTGTTAATCGGCAACGATGTGGTGGTGTATCGTAACCGTCGGGTGAACGCCATTATCGGCCGATTGCGTGTGAAGTGCGAGTGGGAGGCCAACGGGTGTCCGCATGTGATGGCATTAGACGCGTTGGCCGGTCATAGCGCTAACTGTGAGTACCGGGTGTGCGATTGGTGCGGACTGTTGTGCACACCCAATGATGGTAACGGAGAGCACGACTGTGTGCTGGCGTTGCTAAGCGACCGGGACGGGTGGCGCGACCATTATGTCGCAGAAACGAATAGGTTATCCCAAAACATTAAGAATTTGCAACTAATAAATGATCAATTAGTGGCCAAATGTGATTACAATAAAAACGAGATAATCAAACTTTGTGATCAAAACAAGGTATTTGTGGTAAGTCGTAACGGCTATGAGACTGAACTAAACAAACTTCGTAAGGCAAATGTTGGACTGGTAACCACTCTTAATCACAAACACAACGAGTTAATTAAACTGCAGCAGGAAAACAAATATATTATGGCTATTAATAACCAGAAAATTCAAGAGAGTATCAAACAACGGGCTGACAACAGCGCACTTCAGTTAAGTCGTGACCAGAAACACAACGAGTTAACTAAACTTCGGCGAGAAAATGAGTCGCTTGTGGCCACTCGTGACCAAAATAACACCAAACTAGTTCAACTGCAGCGCGAAAATCAAACTTTATTGGCCACTCGCAAAAAGATAGACCATGATATAATTATTATTCGGCGTGAAAACAGCGCACTACAGTCCAGTCGCGATCAGTATCACAGCGAGATAACTAAACTTAAGCGTGAAAATGAGTCATTTGTCGCCATTCACGACAAGAAACATAACGAGGTAAAACAATTTCGTCTGGAAATCGAGAAACTAGTAAATAATTACGGAAATACGTACATGAACGTATTAAAAAGTGAGCTTCGATCAATTAACTTGTTAATCTTACCTGAGAACGAAAACTCGGACCATGTTGTGAACCAACTGCGCAAACTATTGGACACATTAGAGGTCGACAATCAGCGTTTGCGTACAACTTGTCGAACAAATGACAGCGAGATGTGGCAAAACAAATTGTTGATACAGACCCGGGACGAGTCCGAAGCGGTGGCCACACAATTGCCACAACGATTGAACAGATTGGACGGCGAGAATGAGCGACTTGAAAGGCTTGGTTCTGATGCTCGTTGGACATTGAATGATTTGATAATTATCGTGCTCATTATTATATTGATTTTGGTTGCCACCATGCATATTTAATGCATCCTAATGTGCTTATAGAATTACCGACTAGTAAATTCTAAATAGTGTAGATTTTTAAAACATACAAATATAAAAATAGTGAAAAAATTATACTTTACTTTTAAGATATTTATAATAGAACAAACAGAATATTTGAATGGAAACTAAATTTTCTAATTATGATTATCACGTAACAGATCATGATTATCACGTAACAAAATTTTATATTTTTGACATTCACCATTATTTATTATCAATATTTTAAAACAAAATTTAAAAACTCAAAAATACACCATTAACATATTCGAAGAACTAAAAAAATGACGATTAATTGATTCCTAACACCGGGACTGAGGGCTACGTTAACGTCGCCAAAACAAGTGGACCGACACCTCCCGGTCAGAGTCAACAGAGCGTATTCCGACACTATTTGCTTCACACCCGACCGCGAATTGCAGGCACCCTTACGGGCCAGACCAACATTGAGCATGGTCAGTTTGTCACCCTCGCAGTAACCGCTGTCCACGCGTGCACTCGAATAGTACAGTTGATTGCCTGTGTAATAAACACATCAGTTAATATTTATACTTATAAAGCAATGTATTATATTCCCTACAAATCAGGGAAATTCCTGTCGGGAAATTATAAGGGAAAATACTGGGAAATATTCCCTTTAAAACATACCCTTAAAAAATATGTCCGGCAATAGTATGTATTCAACGGATGGCTCGTCCGTTGCTGCTGACGCTGTTTCCGATTGTTGTCCCGACTGTACGGAGTGGTCGTCCGGTCTGATTGGCGCTGAAGACTGGTCTCGGGTAGAGTTGTCGACTGACCGGTCCAGCGATTCAATGGGCGCCGACTCCTGTTGAGTGTCCGCCGATTCGTTTGATACTTAATTAATGATTATAATTATTAGTTAATTAAATGACTTTTATTATAAATAAGTTACATATTATTGATTAACAAGGTCATTTAAATTCATTAAGTTACTACTGACCCACAGGACTGGCATCAGATTCCTGTCCGCAGACACACACCGATAGTATGAGTAAAATATTTAAAACAATTAATTTTACAGAAAGGATTAGTGCTTTATATCAGCAAGTACTTTTACATTTATATTTATTTACTTTATTAACTTTATTAAAGCAGTATTGCATTTGAAATATAAAGTATTATTTAGTAATTTTAGTAATTTCTTTAGTTTTATTAATAATTTAAAAGTACTGACTTTACCACATATAAATTGCTCTATTGCAAGAGAGGCACATCTATAAATACTTTCATAGCAGTATTACCCAAAAATATAAGGACGTAGACATGAGCTCGAAAGACACTAGCTCGAAAGTCAAAATCCCGAAAGACACGAGCTTGAAAGACAGCAGCTCGAAAGTGCTTAAATTGATTTTACGGCAGGTTTAATATGAGATAAAATTATTTATTTAATTGCTAAATTTTATAGTTAAGTTTAATAATTAAGGTAATTATATAAAGTGAATTATTGCATAAATTAATAATATTGTGTAATTTTTGCTCATTATTTAATCATGGATTTTTTATATTTGATGTATTTATAGCTTTATTAAATTTAGTAATTAAATTAATAATTATATCTCATATTAAACATGGCGTAAAATCAATTTAATCACTTTCGAGCTGATGTCTATCGAGCTTATGTCATACTCCCAGAATATAATCATTATATAATTGTTAATTTTTATAAATCACACATTAAAAATACCTCTAATAAAACTAATAATTTATTTAATTTAAATTATTTAGATGTATCTTTTTAATCAAGTAAATAATAATAAAACAATAGTTAATAATGAAACAATAAATAAAGTTTTTATTCGTGTAATCATTACAAGCATTGAAATGAATGTATTATGAGAGATGTGCCTCTCTTGCAGAGAGCAATTCGTATAATGTAATTGGATTTAAAAATAGTAAGTATAGATGTCACATTTTATTTGTTTGGAGTTTTAATAAATGGCATACAAGAAACAAAACAAAACAAAATTCACAACAATATGCCGGGCTATCCAACCGAGCGTTTTGTAGACCTGAGCCCCGAATTGGCCGAAGAGTTCCAGTGCTCGATATGTCACTGCATACTGAGTGATGCGGTGGACACGAAATGTCGGCACAGCTATTGCTATGAATGCATTGAACAGTGGCTCACATTACAGCCCAACAAACAGTGCCCGCAATGCAACCAATCGGTGGTCACTAACAACCGGAGCGCCAAACGAACCAACAATAAGGACCCGAAACTGAACGAACTGACCATTGGTGCCGATGTTGTGGTGTATAGAAACCGAACGGTGAACGGAGCTATCAATAGATTGCGTGTGAAGTGCGAGTGGGAGGCGAACGGGTGTACGGAAGCGATGGCATTGGACGGGGCGGCACATCATAGTGGCAAATGTCCGTTCCGTGTGTGCAAACGGTGCCAACTCTTGTGCACTATACCCGTCGGTAAGGATGCGCACGATTGTGTGGATTCGTTGCTAAGCGACAAAACACGTTGCGTGATAGGGAGGGACGAGTTGTGCCAAAAGGTGACTGAATTGACACAAATTAACGACCAATTGGTAGCGAGTGGTGACCGTAAAGACGATGAGTTAGATAGACTGCGGCGCGAAAACAGTGCACTCCAGTCGAGTCGCGACCAGAAACACGACAAGTTAACTAAACTCGAGAGGATTAACAGTGAACTAATCGCCAAAACAGAACAGAATCTAACTGACCTGGCTCAAATTGGGAATGTTTTAGGGGCAAAATGCAATGAACTCTCGCAACGCGTGATATCATTAGAGGCCGAAGACAAACGTTTGCGCACTAAATGTACTGACAGTCAAAACGAGTTATATATCGTCCGCAAAACTAACGCTATTTTTATGGATAAGCAGAACGAGTGGGTGACAAACGCCGAGAAACTGCAGCAACGAGTGGACACATTGTTGGCCGAGAAGAAGCAGCGCGAGTCTGACGACCGTTCGAGTGCTTTTATGGGTGCGATCTTCATCATAATTGTTTTGGTGATATGTGCTTATTATTATCAAATTATCAAATGGTAATATGTCCAGGTTGATTTTTTTGAGCGGATTGATAACAAATTGTAACATCTAGTACAGCTAAATTGTTATAAGTCTTTATATTTTAATATTGTAAATAAATAAAGTAATTATAACATTCAGTATGATGAAATAATTCTATGACAATAATTAAAAATTATTATAATTTTAAAATTAATTAATTAACATTAGTTAAAATAAATATAATACCCAATTCTAAGAATATCAATTTTAAGCAACACTTTTTTATAAATAAAAAAGTAAGCTAGCTAAACATATAATTTATTTGTTTATTGATATTAAAAATTAATTGTGATAACAACTATTATACAGTCGATTTCATAACCTTTCGCGCGTGTTATTTCATGTTTACGGGTAAACTAAGTACAATTTTAAAAATCAAACTCGGTACGATTGTGGGTATCTATGGTAAGCAAAAGTTTGCTATTTTAAATTTTTTGATTAATTTCTTAATTTGTGTTGAATGATGAATAATTGTTGCTCAAAAACTACTGGGTCGATTTTTGCGTTCTATATCTAAAAATGTACACAATGTAAAATGAGTTGATACGTGTATCAGGATTTTTCATATAATTGTTGTAATCTTAAAAATAGAGCGCTAAAGTGTCCAAAATTTCATATTTAACATATTTGCTATTTTTATAAACATGGTCAATTTTAGCAATCAGTATACTAAAATGTTAGGAATCTTGTCTAGAAAAAAAGTGAATTTCAGATTTGCATTATTTTATTGTTAAGTCTACTTTTTCCTAAAAATTAGAACGAAAAGTTAGATTCAGTACTTTTTGCAAAACAATTATTCATCATTCAACAAAAATTTAAAAATTAATCAAAAAATT